AAAGGTGGACGTTTTATAGCAAAGAGGGGAGTGATTAACTTTTCAGTCTAGGAGCGGAGGTCCCTAGGACCATCAAGGGAGAAGAGCGGAGAGTGGGACCCTACCCAGAGAAGCAGTGATGCCTGAAATGGAGGCAGAGATGATGACGTGGAGCGATGGAGTGGCTGGAGACTTTAGATCCAGAGAGGGAGAGCAACTGTGTGCTGAAGACCTGGGGAGTACGGAGGGCAGGACTGCAGGGTATACCCTTTGGTTGGTTGATGATGCATGGAGGGGATTGTAACCATGGCAATGAGACGATATACGATAGAATGAATGTAAAAGAGATGGGAAAAAAGCCACCCTTTTAGAAAGAAAAAAAATAAAAGAATAAGGGTTTTTTTTTTTTTAATTTATAAAAAAAGTCTCCGTTTTCCTTCCTGATCATGCACTCAGATATGCCGTGTTTGTTTTCCTGACTCGGTCTTAACTACTCAAACTCCCTTCCAGAATATTTCTTTATGTATGTAAAACCATGAATTATCTTGAATTCTCTCAAAGCTTTAAAATGCACCTGAAAAGCTTTTAAAATATTATTTGTTTTCTTTTTCAATGCTTTGGAGTATTGTTGCTACGTGTCATGTTGGTTCCGACTCATAGCAACCAGATATAGGGTTTCCGAAGAGTGGCTGGTGGATTTTGAAGTGCCAACCTTGTAGTTGAAACCCACACTGCAGTAGAGCGCTCATCCTACAGCATCGCATGAGAGCTCCATGCTTTGGAGTAGGGCTTGGCAAACTATCGTTAAAGGGAGGAGCAGCTAATCACTGTTTGTTCATTTTAAAGAGTGCGCTAATGGAGTACAAAGAGCTCCAGTAGCGTAGTGATTATGAATTGGGCTGCTAACCTCAGGGTCAGCAGTTCAAAACTACCAGCTATTACATGGAAGATGAGACTTTCTACTCCAGTAAAGATTTACAGCCTCGGAAATCCTGTACAGGGTTGCTGTGAGTCGGAACCGACTCCAGGGCACATAACAACAACTAATAGAGTACTGGACTCCTGGTGTGGCGCTGTAGGATCAGCACTGGACTGCGAACCATAAGGTTGGCAGTTCAAACTCACCGGCTGCTCCTTGGAAACCCTATACAGAGTTACTATGAGTCAGAACCAATTTGACGGCACTTAACAACCGCAGCAGCAGCAATAGAGTGCTGATGTGGTGCTACAGAGTAAGCACTGGACTGCTAACAACAAGGTCAGTGGTTCAAACCCACCAGCCACTCCTCGGAAACCCTGTACCAGTTGCTGTGAGTCAGAATTGACTCAACAGCACTTAACAAAAACACAGGAAAATAACTTATTTTTATTGGCATACAGTAAGACCTTCTAAAGTAATGTTGCAGTCCTGTTGTCATGCTGTAGGATAAGAACTGGACTGAGAGGTTGGTTAGAATCGCAAGGTCGGCCATTCAAATTTACCAGCTACTCTTTGGAAACCCTATACAGAGACTCTGTAAGTCAGAATCTACCGGATGGCACTTAACAACAACACTGCTTTATTGTTGTTGTTTTTAAGTGCCGTGGAGTCGATTCCAACTCATAGTGACCCCATTTAGGGTTTCCAAGGAGTGGATGGTGGAAATCAATTGCCCAACTTTCAGTTAACAGTCCAGTGCTTATCCTCCAGGGCCACAACACGATTCCTCTATACACTTACAAAATATGACTTTTTGCCTTTAGATGGTAAAATTCAATTGAAAATGTTTTTTTGTTGCTGTTGTATATTTTTGGACCTCTATAGCTTTTCTTCCAACATTGGTGGTACTGTAGGATAAGAAATGGACTGTGAACCACAAGATCAGCAGTTCAGGTCCACCAGCCACTCCATGGGAGAAAACTGAGGCTTTGTGTTCCTGTGAAGATTTACAGCATTGGAAACTCTGTACAGGGTCTCTAACCAACTCATACAGCACTTGCCAACAACAGCAAGAAAATCGCTTCATCTTCAACGTACTATTGCTGTCAGCCACACTCCTCACCTTTGCCATTGTAGTGTGCAAGCAGCCAGAGGCAGTATGTAAGGGAATGAGTATGGTTGTGTTCCAAACCAAACTTTATTAAAGGGCACTGGAATTTGAATTTCATATCATCTTCACATTTCATGAAATATGATCCTTCTCTTGATTTTTCTCCCCCAAACCATTAAAAAATGGGAAGAACCATTTTTAGACCATAGAAAAGTGACCAGAAACCAGTCACTGTTGAGACAGCTCTAACTCATAAGGACGTCATATGTGTCAGAGGAGAACTGTGTCTATAGGATTTTCAAAAGCTGAGTGTGGGGAACATAGATCACCAGACCTTGCTGTCGAGGTGCCACAGAGTGAACTTGAATTTCAAACCATTCAGTCAGCAACTCAGCACATTAAAACAAGTTTGCACTACCTGGGACTCTAGAAAGCAGGTGGTGGGATGGATTTGCCCCATGGGATAAAGTTTTCCCAATCCTGCTCTAAACTGACATTTAAAAATTTAAAACAGAAAAAAAAACAAAAAACAAAAAACAGACATACAGGGCACAGATTTCAAAAGGGGTTGGCACGAGCACTCCATGATTTACATCAAATCATGGAAAACCTCAAGTTTCCAAATGACCTACATCCATGTGTCTCTCTTTGTGTCAAACATGGCTCTCCTGGAAAGCGAGGTCAGCTTATCAGCTAAGAAGCTGCTCTGCTCCTGAGCAAGCAGTCATACCTGCTCTTTGATTTCTTGGAGCTTCCGGCTCTGCTCTCTGATATCATGGAGAAGCTGCAGTGCTTTGTCATCCTCCTGGGACACCTCCATCCGTGCTTGCTCCAAACTTCGCTTTAAGCTCTGCGGAAAGCAAAAATTTTAATAGGGAGGCCCTGCGGATCCTGCTCGGTTTGAAAAGATTAATTAAGAGAGATGCCTCACAAGGCACCCAGATGGTTTCCGGTGACAGAGCCAAACTTTACAGCTTCCAGGTTGGTGTCTGGTTCCAGTGTATGTCCTGTAAGAACATCATGGTGAATTTGATGACCTTTCGGGATCAGCCATCTATCCATCTACCTGTCCTAACAGATACTTACATGTATGTTTGGGCCCAAACACTAGTAAAGACACAAAACTAACATTTGGACAGCTACAGTCTTTCTTCTTGAACAGCAGTTAACTGAGAACTCCCAAGTACACATCCCTCTTCCAAAGTAGAAACTATTAATTCTCTGCCCAGTTGTCACTACACATTCCAACTAGTCTACTTCCACCTCCTGGCGTACATTTCCTGAACACCTTTCATCCATAAGGCTCCCTCCATGCTTCAACGGCACTGAAATAGATATCTGAGATACCAAGCTGAATAATTTCACCCACCACTGAAATGCGGCCAAGTCTGGAATGGAAACATAGCAGTTATTCTTAATCAGCCAGGCTCTATAGATTTCCTCTCCCGTGTGAAAAAAACTTTCGCAATGTGTGATTCAACTTCTTAAGGCTGCTTTCTGGGCACATTAAAAAACACCTGAATGAAAAATTTAACAAGACAATGGAGAAGACAGTCTACGCTTGTGAAGAGAGGAAACAACATCAAAAGAAAGTCACATGGTAAATAATGACAGAGGGTCTGTGCTTCATAGCGGAGTTTTCTTACCGCTAAGCTGATTCTAGGCAACAGATAATTGGTTTCAGGCAGACTCAAAAGACATTTTCTTGTACAAACTTGGGAGTCTGATTCCCAAGGCGGATCATGTTGGACACAATGTAGACCAAAGAGGTTGGGATGTAAGATTCTAGGACTCTTTGCAACTCAAATCTGCAGGCTCCAGGAGACCAGTGACCTACCAGAACTTGCAGCTGGAGGGGTCCAACTCATTTCTCTGTGACCTAATGCCTGGCTCACACTACTCTGCGAACCAAAGAGCTGGCTCTGGTACTGGGAGTCGCCCTTTCTCTCCCTCTCTGTTCTCTGTCACTGGCTGTGATGTGCCTCATGAAGCTGTCATGAAACAGGATGAGACACACACAACAGGAAGTGCCGCCTCCAAGGGAAGGGGCTTCGGGGAAGGCTCACACTGCATTCTGTGATGTAGGTAGCAAGGTCCTGCTCCAGGAGGGATCTCTGAGTCTCAGAGGCCTTCAGCTCCACCTCCTTCTGACTAAGGACAGCCTCCACCTCAGACACTCTCCGATGTAACCGGGTCATTTCCTGCTCCATCTGAAATAAACACATTGACAGGTTAAAAGGGCCCGTGGAGGTTCATTAGGAGCAATCAAATCTCAAGTAGCCTCTGAAAACAACAGTTGGGATGAAAATACCATTTTGTCTTCGCCCAGGAGTGCACAGTTCTTCGTAAGGACAGTCACCAATGCTAAGTCCCTCCTCTCATTCAAGTCTCAGGTTCACACTTGATCACTTCTCTAACCCAGTTAGCAAGGAAGCCACCAGCACCATTTTTCGCCTGTTTGGTTTTGATTTTTGGTTTGGCTTGGCTTTTACAGACGTCACTTTAATTTTATCCCAAAGCCATCTTGGTCACCCCCCATCTCCTTGCAAAGATCTAGAGGATAGGTCCAGCACAGGACAAGGAGATATCTACTCGTCTGCACTCTTAGGAGTCCCAAGCAAGGAGTGACTTTTGTTAGTTTCCAGAGCGCTGCCCCTAGGCAGGAACAGTAAGTGTTAAGAGACGTTGAGCATAATCAATACAGTGGCTGTGGTTACATAAGCAGGAGCTTTAAAAGACTAGGAAGAGAGACTTCGCATCACTCAGAGCAGATGGGCTGCATCTCGGCCACACGTGAGGACCCACGCCACCTGCCGGAAGAAGCAGACGTCTAGGCGGGTCATGCTGAGAAACGGGCCGTTTTAAATCCAGCGCCTCCTTTGGTTAAGACTTAAAGGATTTATGGCAACGTCAAGGCCTGATTTCATCTCCCTCTGAGCTGCTGGAGGCACGACTTCAGCGAGAGAGGGAGCACTTCGCTCTCTCCGGATCAGGCGGCTCAGTGCCAGCAGTGGCCCCGGGTGGATCCCTTGGCATATATTGACGGGAGGATCCTGGAGCAAGGAAGGAGGCCGGCTGCGGAAATAAATACCTTGTGACACTTATCCTGAGAGTCTTGCAGCTCTTTGCTTTTGATGAGAAGTTTCTTTTCCATGGAGCTAGTCTTGGCAGGGGAGTCCAGACCAGACACAACAGACCTAGATAGAGGAAAACCAATGTCAAGATGGCACGCAGTGGGCCTGGGACGCCACATTCAACAACAACGGCAGTAATGATGACGCACCTCTCAGCATTCTGTGGTTGTCAAACACAGCTAGATCAAATGGCTTCTAATGACCCAAGGTCATAAGGCAAGGAGGTGGTGGGAAGCAAGCGTCTGGAGGCAGATGGACCTAAGTGCAAATTCAGTTGCTATTAACCCTGGACACTGATTTAGCCTCTCTGAGTCTTGGTTTCCTCATCCGAACAGTGGGAGTATAGTGAAAGGTGTCGGCAACGACGGGGTGGCTTCATTCACTTGCTCAACATGTCTTGTGCTCCTACTCTGTTCCAGAAACTGTCCCAGACACTGGGACACAGAGTGAACCAGACAGACAAGGTCCCTGCCTTCTTGGAGCTGACATTCTACAGAGGACAGACAGAGGCAGCAGACAGACACAAGACAAAAAGATTACGAACAATGATCAAGGAGGGCTACTCTGAGGAGGTGGCCGTCTGATCACCCTTGCTAAAGGCTCACTTCACCCCACTGCACATCATATCACATCACCCTGTTAACATCTTTCTCAGGAATGATCATTGTTCATAATCTTTTTTTCTTCCAAGATAACAAGGAGCCAACCATCCAAACCTCTGGAAGGAGACAAGCTCCAATGAAGGGGCTCATACTGAAAGTGCACATGCTATGAATTACCAGCATGCTGGACAAAGTAGTATTTATTCTACCTCCAAGCTAGCCAGGTTAATCCTATTTCATTTATAAAAACAGTTACTTAAAAAAGTTTACTGTGGCAGAATGAGTACTAGCCCCCTAAGATGACCATGTCCTAGAACCAGAACTTACGAACATGTGACATTACAAGGCAAAAGGGATTTAGCAGATTATGTTGGGGAGACTCTCCTGAATCAATCCGGGTGGGCCCAATGTAATCACAAGGGTTCTCATAAGTTGGAAGTAGAAGAGGGATGGAAATGTAACCACAGAAGCAGGGGTCATTGTTTGAGAGAGGTTTAAAGACACCATGCTGCTGGCTTTGAAGATGGAGAAAGGGACCACAAATCAACAAGTACATGAAGCCTTTAAAAGTTGACAAAGGAAACAAACCAACCCAGATTCCTCCTAGAGTCTAACGATGGAACTCTGACCTACCACCTTGATTTCGGTCCAGTTAAACCTACCTCAGACTTGGATCTCCAGAACAGCAAAATAATAAATTTGTGTAGATTTGAGTCACTGCGTTTCTGATCATTTGTTATAGCAGCAACAGTAGATTGATACACTCATTGAGCACTTACTACAAAAGGAACAAAATAATAAATGTGTACTGTTTTGAGTCACTAGTTATAATAGCAACAGTAGACTGACACCCATTCACTTGCTACATTGTATTCTGAGTATATTCTAACATAAAACATACGTTAACTTTTTACTGCCTACAATCCTACTAAAAAAATAAAACTAAAGAAATCCGTTGCTATTGAATTCCAACTCATTCCAATGTTCTGAGTGTGTGTGTGTACAGAGAGAGAGTGCACGAGGGCGAGCCAGCACCCTGCTGTGATAATGCAGGCTACACACTGCATTGATAACTACAAGGTGGTGGCGGTGGTGGCTGTGTGCCGTGGAGTTGGTTCTGACTCATAGCAACCCTGCACAGGGTTTCCAAGGCTGTAAATCTTTATGGGAGCAGAAAGCCTCATCTTTCTACCGCGGAACAATTGGCAGTTTCAAACTGCTGACCTTAAGGATCGCGGCCTGATTTGTAACCACTACGCTACCATAGCTCCAAAGGTAGGCAGTTCAAATCCACCAGTAGCTCTTGGAAATAGGAGCTGTACAGGGTGACTATGGGTCAGAACCGACTCAACAGCACATATCACCAACCACACTGGCTGCAGACTAGTTCTCTCAGGATACACTGTCTTAATCTTCTTAGGGCGCCTTCAAATAAAAGGATCAATCTGAAAAGTGGAGTCTGAAGGGATTTGCTGGACTAGTTCAATTTAAGGCAGAGAGCTCAGCTCAAAAGGGTAAAAGGACATTTTTGGAGGGATTCCAAATGGGTGATACGCTGATAGATTTTCTCAAAGGATACATGAGGACTTATCAGGAAGAAGTTTTAAGAAGACTGAAAACTGAATTGGTACGAAAAATTCCAGTAAAGTTGGGTCTAGATTTTTTTCCCCCCATTATGACAATGCATCTGATGTGATCATTCTTCCAGGCAGCAAGGGTTGTCTTACTAGAATCTCCTTAGGAAACCTTATCCCATCTACCCTATAGCCCTGATCATGATCCTTCAGACTTCTTTATGCTCCCCAAACTCAAAGAACATTTCAAAGGAGTATGATTTGATTCCCATCAAGATGACAAAACCTCCATTTCAACAAGGTACAAACTGAAGAGTGTAGAATTTGGGGGGGAAAGGATTAGAGACATGGAAACATCACCTTCCGAAGTGTGTAGACCTAGATGTGGGATATGCTGAGAAACAATTTTGATATTTTTATTTAATAAAGGTTGAAGTTCAAAGCCAGCATCTGCTCCTGGGAAGCTCTAATCAGGGTGGCTATGGGCCGGAACCTACTTGACGGCACTAGCAACACCAATGGGATGCTGCAGGATAAACACTGGAGTGTGCACCACAAGGTTGGCGGTTCAAACCCAGCAGCTGCTCCTCGGGAACCCTGTACAGGGTCGCTATGGGCTGGAACCTACTTGACGGCACTTACCAATGTCAGCATGACTTTGCAGCAGCATTTTGAAACTACCCTTGTGCATGAATATATGCATCTGTGTGTGTGGTTATGTGCTGTGGAGTCGGTTCTGACTCAGCAACTCTGCATAGGATTTTTGAGGCTGAATAGGAGTTCTAGGAGCTCTGGTAACGTAGTGCTTACGAATTGGGCTGTGAACCGCAAGGTCAACAGTTCAAAACTACCAGCTGCCCTGCAGGAGAAAGATGAGGCTTTCTGTTCCCGTAAAGATTCACAGCCTCGGAAACCCTGTTCAGGATCACTATGGGTCAGAAGTGACTTGATGGCACTTAACAACAACAACAACAACATAGAGGAGTCCTGGTGTGGCGCTGTGAGTTAATGCGCCAGACTGGAAAGCTGTTTGAACCGCAAGGTCAGTTCAAGCTCACCAGTTGCTCCTCGGAAACCCTATACAGACAGGGTCGCTATGGGTCGGAACCGACTCGAATGCACTTAACAACAACAACATATCTTTATGGAAGCAGAAAGCCTCATGGTTCTCCTACAGCATAGCTGGTAGTTTCGAAGTACTGACCGTGAGAGATTGGCAGCCTGACTCATAACCAGTACGCTACCAGAGCCCCTTCTGTATGTATTCATGTTGTTGTTGTTAAGTGCAATGGAGTTTATTCCAACTCATAGAGTCCCAAATACGGTTTCTGAGGAGCAGCTGGTAAGTTTGAAATGACGATCCTGTGGTTCAAACCGACCTTGTGGTCCAGTGTTTATCCTACAGTGCCACACCAGGACTCCATATATGCATACATACATAACTATGTATATGTGTATACACACATACAAACACACACATGTGACTTAAAGCACTTACTGATGGAGCTCAAACAACTGGAGCAGTAAGCAACAGTGACCCTTCGGTTAGCAGTGAAGCACTTAACTGGTGCACTAACAGGGTTCCAACAACCCTAACGACAGGTCACCAGCTTCCTTCTGCATAGGAGGAGATGAAGGCACACAGCCTGAGTAATCTGCCGGCTGGTCTGAACAGAGAGCTGAGGCAGAGAAGCTAGCCTGATGCGCTCGATGTAACTAACTCTCACGAAAATATCAAAGACAACGTGGCATGTCCTCCTGAGAGTGAGCTACAAGTATGTGCACCCCAAAGAAAGGGCACATTCGCTTCAAACGTACGCATAAGGACACACTGGGCCTCATGTTGGGTGCTGTCAAGGTGACGGCGACTTACAGCAATCACACGTGACAGAGCCCAAGAGGGCTTTCTTGGCTGCAACCTTTACAGGAGTAGATCACTAGCTCTTTCTTCTGGGTTGCTGCTGGATGGATTCGGACCACCTGCCTATGGTTAGCAGTCATGCGTGGAACTGTTGCCCCTCTAGCGCTCCTTGTTTTTAGAAGGATTTAACTCTGGGTGGACACAACAGTCCTCATCCAGGCAGCTCCCTCAGTGTAGGTGCTCTGCATAGGAATACTGGGACTAGTAAAGGTCAGGGCCAGAGTGACAGAGAGCAAAGGCTCTTGAGCACAGAGGGATATGTGATGGGGACCCCAGCCCTAGTAACAGGAACTGGCTGCTAACAAGTGCTGGGGTCTTCGCAGGTGACGGTGCTGCCTGTTGGCCCAAGTGATTTCCATGTCTACAAGAGGTCTGTTTGCGGCAGCAACACGGACACCTCTCTCCTGACATCCCCCAGCCCAATGACAATGGTTGGTGTGGCAGTGTTGGCTCACTCTACCCCGAGAAGGCCTTCCACACATACTCTACACACCAGGGCAGCATGTGAACAAACCCCAGAGTCACACTGCTCTGCGTCAACTCGGACCCCACCACCCACTAATTATCTTAACTTCCCATTCCTGAGTCTATTTTTACAACTGTAAAATGGGGATCGTTCTCAACCTGCTTCAATGGGTTCTTGTGAGGGTTAAATGAGATAATGGATGTAATACCAGTCCCTAGCATATGGAGACGGTTCAATAAAGGCCGGCAGTTACTCTTCTCATTGTCAATTTTGCCATTACTACCCATACAACTCCGTAAATAGTACATGCTTTCAGGCCTACAATAGATGCTCAAAACGGTAAAACTCAGGGGGCTGAACTGCTCTGTATTCTTATTCACATAAAAACAAATGCTGATTACTCATAGAAATGGGCAACAGGAATCGCATAAGTCACTGAATCCAGAAATAAATGTTTTGAAAAATCTCACTTAGGACTGAAACGTTTAACCAAGTTCTAC